CTTTCTCGACACCACAGGGGGTGCGCAGGGGGTGGTCTCTCAGCTCGGCCGCTATCCACGACACTGGCGCAAAGCCTAGCAGGGAACAGTCGCGACGAGGACCCAGAACGCAGGGTTGTGCATACATATATATATATATATATATATATATATATATATATATATATTATATATTAGACATAAGCGAACACATAAGATTTAAATTAAGTGTGTGGGGTTCCTCGGTAGCGTAATTATCGCTCCTCCATGCTTATTTTCCTCATTCTCGCCATACCCTGGGTATTCTTCCGATCCTCCTCAGCTCTTTTTGCGGAGGCTCTTCCTCGGAGAGCCTCTGGGGGCCTCACCAAAGTTCTCAGGCTTTCGTAAAGCCTTCTGGAGGCCTCCTGGGCGTGTTCTGGGGGCCTCTGGGGCTTCCTAAGGCCAACCTGCCTCTAACCGCAGTCTCCCTGAACGCCCCGGTCACGATTTGGAATGCTTCGGAGGGTGTCTTGGGGCCATCTTGGGCCGCCATGGGGCTCTCTTAGGGCCATTTTGGACCCCTGTTGTGCCGCTCTGGGGCTCTCTTGGACTGCCTGGAAGCCCTTTCGGATGGTTGCGGGGCGACTTTGGAGCCTCCCAGGCGACTTCCGACGGCCAGAAAACCGCTGTTTTGGAGCGTCGGGAAGCCGAAAAGAGGAGAACCCGAAATTCACCAAAAACCTACATTAAATCAATGATTATTCCCTCTTGGGGCCTTCTTGGGGGTGCTCTTGGAGGCCTCTTGGTACGTTTTGGAGCGATCTTTCGGGGTATGACGGTTTCTTGGAGCGCTGTTCTGCTGTCTTGGGGTTCTCTGGGACGTCTCCGATGACCCCCCTGATCGTCCTAGGTGCTGTGAAGGCTTGGCAAAACGCCCTGCGAGGCCCGGGGGGCCGCTTCGAGGCCCGTCCAAAGGGTCCCAAAGCCCCAGATCCCGAGATCCCGGGAGTCCGGTTTTTTTTGGGGGGGCGGTGACGGGTTTTCCCCCCGCCCGGGCTTGTACAAATATAGAAAGAGGAATATACCTATACAACCAACCTTAGGGTGATAAGGAGGTTCGGGGGGGAGGAACCAACGTCTCACTCGATCGGTCCCACTATCGATCTCACTATCGGTCTCGCTCGATCGATCTCACTCGATCGATCTCACAATCGATAACACTCGATCTATGTCATTCGATCGATCTCACAATCGATCTGACTATCGATCTCACAGTCGATCTCGCTATCGATCTCACAATCGATATCACAGTCGGTCTCACTATCGATCTCACTATCGGCATCACAACCGATATCACAATCAACGTCAACATCATCACCATCAACAGCATCGCCATCAACGTCATCAACATCATCATCATCACCAGAATCCTCATCCTCATCCTCATCCTCATTATCATCATCATCGGGACACCATCACCATCATAATCACCTCATCACCATCTTCATCACCATCATCATCATCATCATTACCATCACCATCGGGGCACCATCATCGTCGCCATCATCGTCACCATCGTCAACATCATCATCGGGACACCATCATCATCATCATCATTATCATCGGAACACCACCATCACCATCATCATCTCATCACCATCATGAACATCATCATAAGCATCATTATCAACGGAAACCATCATCATCATCCTCAACATCATCATCATCATCAAATCATCATCATCGGGACACCAGCATCAGCACCATCAGCATCATCATCAATATCATCATCATCATCATCATCATCATCATCATCATCATCATCATCATCATCATATTCATCATCATCGGGACACCATCATCATCATCTTAATTATCATCGCCATCGCATCATCATCGGGCCGCAATTATCATCGCCATCACATCATCATCATCATCATCATCATCATCACCTCATCATCAACAACATCATGATCATCAACAGCATCATGATGATGATCATCATCATCATCATCATCATCATCATCGGGACACCATCATCATCACCATCATCAACATCATCATGGGGACAACACCATCATCACCATCACCATCATCATCAGCATCATCATCATCATCACCATCATCAACATCGTCAACATCTACAGCATCATCATCATCCTCATCATCATCGGGACACCATCATCATCACCACCATCACCACCATCACCATCATCACCATCAACATCATCAACATCATCGACACCGACATCGACATCGACATCGACATCGACATCGACATCGACTTCGACATCGACATCGACATCGACATACAGCATCATCATCATCATCATCATGATCATCATGATCATCATCATCATGATCATGATCATGATCATGATCATCATTCATTTGGTCCGGCCGCTCCTCAGCCACAACGGGACACCGGCGGGACACCGCGCGGCACCGGTTGCCGGAAGGGAGTCATTTGGTCCAGCCGCGCCTCAGCAACAGGAGACTTTCCTTTCGCCCACCCACGCAGCTTCGCCTCGCCCGCACACACGGCACGCACGAACACGAAACCGAAACCGATTTCTCGGTAGGGGGGCTCTCCGTTACACTTCGATCTCACCCCTTCACCTCCGATATATATATATATATATATATATATATATATATACTAGAACCACGCGCGCGCTTCGCGCGCGCTTAGGTTCTAGCTAGGAGGCGAGCTTGAGTCAACGAAAGTCGCAGGGAAGGGGGCAGGGGGAAGAAGGCCAGAGAGCGCTGAAGGATACAAATACTGGAACCCTCTTGTGATTTTGTGGGGGGCCTCGTCCGGCCGCTCGCTGGGAGTTTGACGTAGCTTCTCGGGAGCCTCTGAACCTGTCGGGGGCCTCCTGGAAGCAGGTTCGAAGCATTTTGGGGGCCGATTTGGGGCTTCTCGGGGCCTCCTTTGGGCCTCTTGGGGGTCTCCTGGGGCCTCTTGAGGGGCCTCCTTGGGGCCTCCTGGCGGCCTCTTGGGGCGGAAGGCTCGAGCTTGCGGTTCGTGGTCCCCCTCTGGGCCCCCTCTTGGGCCCGTCTTGGGGCCCTCTTGGGCCATCTTGGGCGCCTCTTGGGCCGTCTTGGGGCCCTCTTGGGCTGTCCTGGGGCCCTCTTGGAAGCTTCTTGGGCCGTCTTGGGGCGGTCTTGGAGGCCTCTTGGGCCGTCTTGGACGCGGTGAAAGCCCAAGATGCGAACATGCGAAAAATATACGTTTTCCCATAGGAATGGCACGATTTTTACCTAACAGCGTAGACTGATAGGTTTCTAGTAGGCTCAAAAGAGAGCAGCAGATGACTCCACAGGGGGGTCTGGGCAGCCGTTGGGGAGGTGTTGGGGTTTGCCGGCCAGGATCGTTTTTCGCATACAATCACACACTTCGTGCTCTTCGACCTCCCAGAACTCCATTCCCGGGCCACATTCTGAATGCCCGGAGCCAACTGTACACCACTTCGTGCTCTTCGACTTCCCAGAACTCCATTCCCGGGCCACATTTTGAATGCCCGGAGCCAACTGTAGGCCACTTCGTGGTCTTCGAGTCCCCAGAACTCCATTCCCGGGCCACATTTTGAATGCCCGGAGCCAACTGTAGGCCACTTCGTGCTCTTCGAGTTCCCAGAACTCCATTCCCGGGCCACATTTTGGATGCCCGGAGCCAACTGTAGGCCACTTCGTGCTCTTCGAGTTCCCAGAACTCCATTCCCGGGCCACATTTTGGATGCCCGGAGCCAACTGTAGGCCACTTCGTGTCTTCGAGTTCCCAGAACTCCATTCCTGGGCATGATTTTGAATGCCCGGAGCCAACTGTAGGCCACTTCGTGTTCTTCGAGTTCCCAGAACTCCATTCCCGGGCCACATTTTGAATGCTGAAGGCTGAGGCTGAGGCTGAGGCTGAGGCAGGCTGAGGCTGAGGCTGAGGCTGAGGCTGAGGCTGAGCTGAGGCAGGCTGAGGCTGAGGCTGAGGCTGCTGCAGGCTGAGGCTGAGGCAGGCTGAGGCTGAGGCTGAGGCAGGCTGAGGCTGAGGCTGTGTCTGTGACTGCCGTTGCCACTGCGACTGTCATCGCGAATGCGACTACGACTGCGAGAACAGCACAATTCTACAACTGGATTCTCATCTGAATCTTAAGGGGAATGCTTCCAGATATGCTCCTACACATCGCTGTTAGGTTGCTTTGCCGGGATAATTGTTGATTGGACCTCTCTTGGGGTGCCTCTCGGAACGTCTTGGGGTGCTTTTGGGAGCCTTTTGGCGCCTCTTGGCTGCATTTTGGCGCCTCCTGGAGCCTCTTGGGCCGGAAGCTCGGAATTCGAGGTTGGCTTTCTCCGTCTGGGACCCCTCTCGAACTCGTCTTGGGGCTCTCTTGGGCCCGTCTTGGGGCCCTCTTGGGCCATCTTGGGCGCCTCTTGGGCCGTCTTGGGGCCCTCTTGGGCTGTCCTGGGGCCCTCTTGGAAGCTTCTTGGGCCGTCTTGGGGCGGTCTTGGGCGCCTCTTGGGCCGTCCTGTAACGTCGGAAAGCCCAAAAGAGAACTTTGTTGAAAATGTACGTTTTACGAAGGGAATGGGCCAATTTTTGCGTTTAGGGGCCCTCTTGGGACGCGTGTTGGAGGCTTCTTGGGGCCTCTTGGGGGCGTCCTTGGACGTCTGGAGGCCATCTTCAGCATCTTGGAGCCCTCTTGGAGGCCTCTTGGAAGTTTCTTGGGCCGTCTTGGGCGCTTCTGGGGCCGTCTTGTCTGACCGGGGAGGCCTCCGGCAAGCCCCGACGAGCCTCCGGGCCCCCCGGAGCCGCCCACATTTGCGGTCGGGGTCCCGGCCCCGGGCCCCTGGACCCGGTGCGCCGTTATATGTATACATATATTAAGACCCAACACTTGCCAAGGTTCCCGAAGATTGATCCCATTGGCTGTGGCCATGGATTACCTCCCACTCGGAACCCTCCGCCCATTTCCTCGTCCAAAATCCGCCGCCGCCGCCGCCGCCGCCGACGACGACGACGACGACGACGACCGCGGGGGAGTGGCCAGCAGCGCCAGGGCCGTGACGGCGTCCTCCAGAACCGCGTCGTCGACGTCACGGTACTTGCGCAGCAGGTCCACCACCAGGGGCACGGTCCCCAGGCGGCTGATGATGACGTCTGCGGCGGGCGCTTTTTGGGACTCGGATCTCCGACGACAGCTATGTGTTGCTCCATCCTGACGGTTGCCTGTGGTCTCGGCCTCTGGGGCCCATCACTGGGCCCCGCCCGGAACCATTGAGACAGTAGGGGGGGGGAGGGGGAGGAGAAGGAGGAGGAGGGGGAGGAGGGGGAGGGGGAGGAGGAGGGGGAGAGCCGGTCTGGTTCCAAAGTCTTCGAACGAGGAACTTGCAACAGCGAACTTCAGGAAGGCATTGTTGTTGCGGGCCAGATTGGCTCGGCCCCTGCTTTCCTATCAGTATATAAGCTCCTGCTGGAGCAAGTGCCCGCTCCCATCGGAGCCGATCGCCGTTCTTTCATGAAGCGCGATGGTCGTGTGTGGCGCAAGTGGACAGATACTCAGTGGCGGTAGTGGTCCGACGATTGGTCCAATGAGAAGCCCAAATGGAAATGTGTTGCATGCGGCTGGGCAAAGAACGAACATTGGATGTACTGGTGCAACCATTGCAGCTCCGAGACGAAAGAAGTTGCCGCAGGTGTGCACTACGTACCGCCAGGTGGTCTCCTTCCTGGCGGTCGCAGTCTTCCTTGTGCCGATGTGCGGCCTGCCGGATTACAGCTGAGACCCCCGCCGTCAAGGGGCAGTACACCCCAGACCAGCTGCCCGCCCTTCGAGCCCTCCACAAGTCCTTGTCGGAGTTGAGGGCAAGGTGGGGGGCGGACCGCTACCACAAGGGTATTCAGGAGCCAGAGAAGGCCACGTCTCCCGCGCCCCAGCATTCGGCGGGTGCTGCAAAGCGCGCTATGGAACAAGCGCTGTGGCAACTCGACCGTGCTGCGGCGAAGGCGGAAGGCCTGGAAACTCAACTATGCGAAGCTAAAGCTGCCGATGCTGAAGCTTACAACGTGTGCGAGCACTGCGAGAACGTCTACAAGGACACGGTGCGCGGCCTCGCGGCCAAGGTCGCGCCCGTGGAGCAGCAGTCCCAGCCGCTGGTGCCGCGCATCAGCCTCGACGACATGCTGCAGGGCAAGGACGTTGATTTCGACGACGGAGGCCTCTTCGGGCTCGAGGAGGTCGAGGGCGCCGAGGTCACCAACTAAGATCGTGAAGAATTGGAACGTAGAAAGTCCGAGCTGTTGGCGCTGGTTCGCCAGGCGGCAAAGGAGGCGTTCCAACGTGTTGGGAGAAGGCTGCACAGATGGTCGACGATCAAAAGAAGTTCAACAGTCGAATGCAGGCCAAACGTCGTCAGCAGGCCGATTCAGCAGAGGGTGCACAAGCTTCAACTTCTGGAGGTGAGAGAGAGCGTGATCCACCGCCGCTTTACTGAGGAAAATTGCCAACCTTTTCCTCCGGAACCCGGGGTTCCCCCCCCCCCCCCTCCGAAAATCCCCCCCCCCCCTGCTGGAACCCCTCCCCCCCCCCCTCCCTCCCGGCAGAACCCCCCCCTCCCCTAACCCCTCCCCCCCCCCCCTCCCCCCTCGAAAACCGGGGGGGGTCACTACCGGTTCGAACCCCTCCCCCCCCCCCCCCGCCCCCCCCTCCGGATCCGGAAAACCGGGAGGGGTCACTACCGGTTGGACCCCCCCCCCCCTCGAAAACCGGAGGGGGGTCACTACCGGTTCGACCCCCCCCCCCCCCACGCACCGCCAGCAAACGACTCCCGGTCCCTACCACCGCTCGCATCACATCCCCCACTGTTGTTCCCAGCACCACTGTCCTCACCACCACTGTCCCCACTGGTTCCACCACCGTCCCTATTGTCCCCACCAGTGCCCCCACCACTGTCGCACTGTCCCCACTGTTTCCACAACTGTTCCCACCACGGTTCCACTCTCCCCACTGTCTCCACGGACCCAACTACTGCCTATCCCCACTGTCCCCACTGTCCCACTGACTCCTCCGCTGTCCCACTGAGCTGTCCCACTGTTTCCACCACTGTCCCCACTGTCCCCACCACTGTCCCCACTGTACCTCTGTCCCATTGTCCCACCGCCGTCCTCGCCACCGCCTTTACCAGTGTCCCCACCACCATTGTACCCTCCACTGTCCCAGTGTTTCCACCTCATTCCCACTGTCCCCACACCACTGTCCCCACCACCACCGTTCCCACCACTGTCCACTGTCCCCCCTGTTCCCACCATTGTCCCCACCACTGTCCCCACCACTACCGTCCCCACCACCGTCCCACTGTCCCCCCACTGTCCCCACCATTGTCCCGCTGTCCCCTCACCACTGTCCCCACCAACACCGTCCCCACCACTGTCCGCACCCCCACTCGGTTTTCGAGGGGGGGGGGGGGGGTTCGAACCGGTAGTGACCCCCCCCCCTTTTCATGATGACTGGGGGGGGGGGGGGGGAGGGGTTCGAACCGGTAGTGACCCCCCCCCGGTTTTCCGGTGGGGGGGGGGGGAGGGGTTCGAACCGGTAGTGACCCCCCCTGGTTTTCCGCCAGCAGCGGTAGAACACGCTCTTTCGGAGGTGATGAAGGTACTGCAGGTACTTGGAGTTCTAGTGGCAGTCGCCCTGCTGATGGTCAAGAGGAGGCAGCAGCCGTCTCGACGCCGAGCCAGGGGCAGCAGATGACAGGCAAGGGCCACGACAAGCAGATCACGCCAGACAACCTGGCCCAGATCTATGCCAAGGCCAAGTTGGCGGCCATGGCCAAAGGCAAGGGCTCGGACGAGGGCCAGCCTGCGTCTAGCTCTTGCGGCGTTTAGGACCATGGTCACCATCTGGACGGCCAACACTACCAGCTGTGGAGAAGAAGGCGGAACAACGCCGCCAAGATGCTGTCTTTTGCAAGGCGCTGAGTGCACCGCCGACAGGCAAAGGGAATGCTAGCCTTTCTTCCACCATCCCTGGCCCGAGCATTCACCTTTTTTCAGGAGGTTGGGGTTCGACCAATGGATAAGATTGTCGTGAAAAGATATTCCGGGATCGAGGCCTTCTCACGACCGCGGCACCATCCAAGGAAACTGGTGCAGAAAAACTCTCGGGAAGAGTCGCCATAGGTATTCCTTCTTGCACCGGCGTGGGTAATCCTCCAAGGTTGCCCCAACCGCTTCCGACTCCTCATCGGGTTATGATCAAATGGGTCGACGCGTTTCTTACAGGGGGGGTGTTGGTGGTCTCTATATATTTGCCGACGTCCAACCCCTTCGGCCAAGAGGGGGCTTGCAGCTAAGTCGTCTAGGAGAGCGTCTTCACTCTGCAGGCTTGACTTTTTTGATTGCCGGTGACTGGAATGCCCCGCCAGCTTTCTTGGGGCGTCTTGGCTGGCCGAGTAGGCTCAGAGCTAAGATCATTGCCCCGTCGTCACCTACTTGTACGTGTGGCAAGCGTGACTGGTTATCTCTGGACTATGTCGTGATCTCGGAGGCTCTTGCACCGTCGGTTGCGTCGTGTCAGGTGTCGCTTGAATCCCCCCTCAAACCTCATCGCCCCGTTCGACCCGCCATGCGAAGCAAACCGATATTGCAGAAGATGACCGTCCGCAAGGCCCCCAGGCAGTTCCCCGAAGAGCGCCCTGTTGGACCCGTTCCAGAGCCTCCTCGAGGATGGCCTCAGGCGATCTCAGCACTCGAGAACCAGGGAACCCAGCAGGTTCTCGACTGCTCCTCTGGGCAATTCATGGGCTTGCTGGAGCACGAGCTCCTTGCAGCGCATGGCACTCCTGAAGCTGAACGTGCTCGGTGCACAGGGCGAGGACACGGGTGTAAAGCTAAATCGGCCCCAGCCCTTCCCCCTGCCACAGGCCCCTACCCTGTCGCATGTCCTGCGAGCAGGGATTGGAGGAGGCGGAGCAATTGGTGTCAGAAGATCGCCCGCTTACGTTCCCAGGAGTCTGCTGAGGACACTATAGGAGCAGCTGCCTTGTTCGCCAAGATCGCGCACGCCACCCCCCTCATCAGGCCTAGCGAAGAATGGGAAGAGATGTGGCATCTGACTCCAGGCCACCTTTCGTGGTGCGACGCAGAGCCCCCCCATAGGCTTGCATGAGAATCCAGATGCGCTACCAGTCGAGCTCGGCAGTGGAGAAGTGTAGGCGGTGCAGGCAGGCGCAGGCAGGTGGAGGGAAGGCTCGCCAATGCACTCGGCATCATCTTGGTCGGCGCCCCATGGCCCCTCGCAAAGGTCAACTTCCTCCTGGGCCAGCGGAACTCATCGAGCAAGATATCCAGGATTGGGAAAAGATCTGGGGTTCTGATGGTGTCGTGTTCAAGCCTTTGCAAGATCCCGAGAAAGCGGTTGCAGAGTTGCGCGGCTTGCTGCGCGATCAGTAGCGCCCCGTCAGCCATGTTTCTCCTGGCAAGATCCGAGGCGTAACGCGGAAGATGAAAGCATGGTCTGCTCACGGTATCGATAGTTTAGGTCCTCGTGATTTTCTTTTTCTGTCTGGCAAACGCCTTGAAGCGTTGAATTTGGATTGGGCTCGGATGTTGCAGGCTGGTGTGCTACGGGCCCAAAAAAGCTTGACATTCCAGCCAGCTCTACCTAAACCTGATGATGACGGACATCGACTCGTAGCCCTACTCAGCATGACTGTTAGGATGTGGGGCAGATGCACTAGACAGGTCGCAGCAGCATGGGGGTGCGACCACCAGCGGAGCCACGATCATGGAGCTAAAGGTAAATCGTGCGAGCGAGCAGTATGGGAGCAAGCGTTCACAACCGAAGACTTAACCCAAACGCACGAGAAAATACGTCACAGACAGCTGGTTTCCAAAGCGCGCAGGTTCAACTGTCCCTTGTGTCACCTGCGCTTGCGCCTGGTGATATACAGCAGCCCCAAGATGTTGTTGCTTGGCTTATGGGCCCCGAGACCCCACAGTGGTTGATTCGACAGTTTTGGCAGGCTGCGGGTACCAACTACATTGCTTAAGCTGGTGATCGTCCAAGAGCTAGACGAGGTATCTAGGGAGTTCAGGTTGAGTCGTCTATACAACGTCGTCGACGATATCACGGCCCAGGTCGTCGCTACCCACTCCCTCGC